CCCGCCGAAACGGTCGGGCGGGGCAGGGCGAGTGGGGCAGGGGGCGAGGCTGGCACTGCAGGCCCTGGGCGAGGCTTCACAAAGGGGCGGCTGTGTCCTCGGGCCTCTTCTAGTCTACTAGGTCTAGCGGCTCTGGTCCTCACAGGAGGAGGAGTTTGACCTCGAGGTTCCTGAGGACTTGGGGCCGCTGCAGTTCGTGAGGTTGTGTAAACAGCACTCGTTGGTGGACGACGCTTGGTTCTGCGACCTCATCACGGTGCAGGGCCCGGGAGCCTGCGCCGAGGCCGCCTTTCCGTGCTACCGCTGGGTGCAGGGTGAGGACGTCCTGAGCCTGCCCGAGGGCACCGGTGAGCGGCAGGGTTAGGGGCGGCGGGGAGGGAGGGGGTTACAAGTGGCAGGTGAAGGGTAAGGGTCCCAAAATGCTAGACAGGAAAAACTATGAATTCCCCAAGTTTTACCTAGAACAGGTGAGGCTGCGAGTGAGGGTGGAGACTTGGATTCTGTGATCTGGAGATTCCCTCTTTCAAGAAGGTGAGAGGAGCTCGAGATGGAGAGGATGAAGGAAAACAGAGAAGCAAAGTAACAAACAGGAGATCTCTGTTAATAAATTAAGGCAAGGGCCACGGTGACCTGGGAGCAGGCGACAGCTATGAAAAAATGGTATAATGCTGAAATGATGGTTTGTGTAGAACAACATCGAAGACAACTAGAAGACAAGGAACTCTTGGCAGGAGGAAGGGATTGATAAGGACAGCAAATACTTTTTTTTTTTAAACCATAAGAAATAAGCGAGAGATGACTCCAGAGACAAATGATGGAAAAGGGTGATAGGATGGAAACATGAAATATATGACTTTGAAATATGTGAGTATACTATTAGTAAAAGCTGGAGCAAGTCAGTAAATACAAACTATGATTGCAAGCCCAACAAGAGTGAAGTCAGGTAATGAAAGCAAAAAGAATCTCTGGAGGGCAGGTGAAGGTGTCACAGTGAGATTTAAGATGTGAAACTGGCCAAAGCAACATGTACTAAAAGACAGATATGGGCTTAATGGTAACTAAACTTTATCACTTTAAGATGATTTTTTTTCCAACCTTAGATATTAATGAAATAGGGTCAGGTAGGGTAAGATGAGTTAAAGGACAAGAAAAGGTGGCACACATGAGTTGGTTTTTGTGCTTTTTGTTTTTTGTCTCCAGGCAAGAGGTGAGGGCTGAAATAAGTGAAATACAGAATGCATGACTGGTAACATGTTTCTAGAGATCAGTCAAGTGAGACAAAGCCAGAGATAAGAGCAGCAGAGCAGGACTCACTACAAAAAGAAAGACAGAACAGGCAGAGGAGAGCATAGGACCAAGCAAAGGGATACGAGTAATCTTCTTAATGTCTCGTCAGCCCGCCTGGCAGGAGACAACACTCTGGATGTCTTCCAGAAGCATCGAGAGAAGGAACTGAAGGAAAGACAACAGATCTACCGGTGAACACCTACCTAGAGGCTTCCCAACTGCCCCACTCTTTCTCTGATTCTGCCCTCACCCTTGACCTTGACACCCTTCTTAAAGCTTTTTCCCCAACTTCTAGATGGACCACCTGGAAGGAAGGGTTACCCCTGACAATAGCTGCAGACGGTAAAGATGATCTACCTCCAAATATGAGATTCCATGAGGAGAAGAGGCTGGACTTTGAATGCACACTGAAGGCAAGGTTAGAAAAGGGCTAGAGTTCAGAGTGGC